CATTTCTTGGCTTCTTAGAAAAGCTACAGTTGGAAACCTCAGGGCTGTTTGGATCTCTGTCTCCGTCACAAATTAATCCTAATGGCTTCTTAGTTTTTGCAAAAGTTGACTTGTGGGTGGAAACTCATGTTAGTGTGGCTTGGTGGGCGTGGCAGGGGAAGGATACTGCAAAATCCCATTCCCTCCCCACCCCACTAACCTGCTTTCCAGCTCCGTTCTCCTGGGCAGAGCAACCAAAGGAGATCCAGCCTATCAGCTGGGACTCAATGGGAGGTGAAGAATAGATGGGGTTGGCGGGTCCAATCAGAGACGGGATTGGCTGGTTCTCTGAACGACTCAAGATTTTATGCTACTGGTTCTCTAGAACCGGTCAGAACCGGCTGAATGCCACCTCTGGCCCTGTCTGAATTGGGATCAGAAAAGGAGAAGGTGTTTTGGAGGCTTGTTTGGAAGGTGGGAAAGGAAGACCGTGAAGTATCTCCCCAAGGTGGTGCCTTCAAATCAGGAGACAGAAGTGTCCAACCTTGGCCACTTCGTAAAATTTGTGGACTTCAACTCCCAGAACTGCCCAGCCAGAGTGACCGACTAGGGAATTCTGGAAGTTTGAACTCCACAAATCTTAAAAAATGGCCAAGATTGGACACTCACACCAAGGTGAAGTAAACAATTATTGGCGATTTCGAAGATTACAGAACGGCTGATGGGGAACCTCTGTGTTGCGAATGGGCCACAGACTGATTTCTTTTAGGAAGGAAGAAGAAAAGAGGTTGAGGAAAAGGGATCCCATAAAACATCCTTCAGGGTGGTTGAAACCACCCACCATCGCCACACCATTTTGGCTTGCTGTCAGGGTTCTGACCCGATTGCCCAAATAAATTATGAGCCTCAAGCCAAACTTCAAAGGAATCCAAAAGGTTTATTAAGAGCAACATGTCCGGCATTAACCTGCATGAAGTGAACTCTGAGACACATACTTTATTATCTCCTATGACCCTGTTTCCTCCACCCTCCTGGATGTGTCATAAATCAGATTCTCCAACCGAAACATGTGTGGAATCTGCGGCACTCCTCAAGCCCACCCCCCCCATCTTTCTTAAGGCAACTCAGAAACAGGCTTAGGAATGATTTACGAGTTGACACATTTCCTGCTGTAACACAACGTTGCGGATGATCTTCATTCTCGGTTTTATGTCCACCCCCCTGATTCTGTTGGAAAAGAAATAAGGAATTGATGGATATGTTTCTCCTTTGTTAATCTTTTTTTTTTTTTTCCCCTTTAGGGGGTTCCCTTTTCTCTGGACGATTTTCTGTTTGACTTGCTTGCTTGGATTGACGCGTGGACATCCTGAAGGTAATTTTGCACCTTTTGGGGGGTATCCATCTTCACATCTTCTGGGGAAGGGTGTCTGGTTAGCCTCCGTGCTGCCAAATCCAGAATTGGAAACTTGGGGGGCGGGGGGGGGGGGGAAATTTGGAGGAAGGATTGAAGTCAACCGCTCATTCTGAGTAAAAAGCAGAGACAATATTGGTTCAGGTGTTGGGCTGAAGCAAGGGTCTTCAAACTTGACAGCTTTAAGACTTGTGGACTTCTCCCAGAATTCCTCTTCCAGTCATGTTAGCGCAGAAATTCTGGGAGTTGAAGTCCACTAGTCTTAAGCTTGCCAAGTTGGAAGACCCTTGTGATAGATGATAGATGGATGAGGAGATGATAAACAGACAGAGAGATGATCAGGGGTCTTCAAATGTGACAGCTTTAAGACTTGTGGACTTCAACTCCCAGAATTCCTCCTCCAGTCATGTTAGCACAGGAATTCTGGGAGTTGAAGTCCACCAGTCTTAAACTTGCCAAGTTTGAAGACCCTTGGACTCTGGAGAGATTCAACTTGAGGTTCATCCTTGTTGTCTTTCTCTTATGGAGAATATAATGGAGAAGGCTCTCCATGGAAGTCCATTTTGCTAAACAGATGGGAGAGTTTAGTTTAATTTAGTTTATTGTCATTACACATTGTACAACAAAATTAAATACCATCTTCAGTGTACTATACAGTAGAATTCAATAGAGTTACTGCCCTGGGATAAAAGGTGTTTTTCAGCCTATTTGTTCTTGTTTTTATTGTTCGGTACCGTCTGCTAGATGGAAATAGTTTAAAAAAAAGGGTGCCCAGGATGAGATGGATCTTTGAGGATGTTTTGAACTTTCTTAAGGCAGCGGGAGCTATAAAGCTCTCCCAAAGAGGGGAGATTCAACCTGGAATTAAGGAGAAATATTCTGACAGTGAGAACAATCAACCGATGGAACAGAAGTTGCCTTCAGAAGTTGTGGGAGCTTCATCCCTGGAAGCTTTCAAGAAGAGGCTGGACTGACACCTGGTGTAGGGTCTCCTGCTGGGGTAGGGGGTTGGACTAAATGGACCTACAAGGTCCTTTCTGACTCTGATTATCTGTTCTCTGGACGATGGAGAATCTCCTTAGACGTTAAGCCTTGCCAAGATTTTCCACTCGGCCAACCGCAGCACCCGATGTGTTTGGTCCATGGCATTTTTGGTCCATGGCATTTCCCTGGAGGACGGGTAGCGTAACAAGGAAACAATTTGGCTCGGCTGTCTTTCAAAGGTCATTCCGTGGGCCCAGATGGAAACAGAGAATAAAAATCCCCACACGCACGACGAGACCAGCTTTCATTAGCTGGTTTTTTCCCCCGCTCTGGAACAACTCCTGAGAAGGATGAGAAGGGCGAGCTTGTGTCCTTCAAAGGTTTCCAACCCCTGGAAACAGTCAACTGGAGGGCAAACACTAGAATCCAGTGTGAACGTGGCTGGAGTTTGCATCAATTTAATTCCTTTTTTCCCCTCCTTCCTTATTCTGTATGACCCATTCAGACGCCTTCACCTTTTATGCTAAGTTCTGAATTTCTCAATCCTTCATATATTAAGTCACTAGCTCGATACCCATGCTTTGCTACGAAACTGTGTGGTCGGGCTTAGTTTTTGGGGAGGAAAATAAGGGGGGAAAATTCTGCCTCTGCCTGCCAGCATCCATTGGTATTCATCTGACTAGCATCCTGTCAGCGTGTGAGAAAGTTGAAGGCTGTCTGGAAGCTGAAAGAGGATTTGCTGTGTGAGCAAGAAGGAGACAGCAAGGAGCCTGGGCGTGGCTTAGCTCCGCTGTTCTGTACTAAAGCTGCTTGGTGCTGTGAAACTAAAATGGAAACCGAAACTCCTCTCCTCTGCTTTTGTTTTGCATTTGGAAGAGATTTTTTTTTCGGGTGGGGAGGGGGAGTAGAACTCCTTAGCATCTGTTGTGGTTAGCTGGCAGCAGGTGCAGGCGGCTGAGGAGAGTGAGGACTCAGTTGAGGCCAGGACCATTAGGTATTCATCACTGCTGCCTTCGGAGATTGTGGGGGCTGGCAGCAGCGATGAGGAGGTTCCCGAGGAGCCTGTGCCAAGTGCGCGTGCACGGAGGATTTCTCATAGGAGAGAGCAATTACAGCAGCACAGGAGACTTGGGAGTAAGGCTGCAAGGTCATGGCCCCTCCCTTGGAAAAGCCTTCTTTGCAGACAGCAAAGAAGCTCTGAAGCTCAACTCGTGGACATTTTAGTTCGTGTTCAGAGAATCTGGTAAATTAGTTGTTATCTCTGGAGTTTTGGCAGCCTTGACAAACAACTTGGCAAGGCTCTTTCTTGTTGGACCTAGTCAGTTGGAAGCAGCCTTTTATCTGTGAAGAAACAGAATTTGTGGATTAAACCTTAAAAGGCGGGGGCCGCTGCCTTTGTCTTGTGTTTGCTCTCTTGGAACCTGGTTGGGTAAGAACAGCATCGGAGCGTAATAATAATAATAATAATAATAATAATAATAATAATAATAATAATAATAATAATAATAATAATA